CTCAGCCCTGGGGAGGCCTCACCTGCAGTACTGTGTCCAGTGCTGGGCTCCCCAGGACAAGAGAGACATGGCACTGCTGCAGAGAGTCCAGCGGAGGGCTACAAAGATGATGAGGGGACTGGAGCAACTCTCCTATGAAGAAAGGCTGAGAGAGCTGGGACTCTTCAGCCTGGAGAAGAGAAGACTTGGGGAGAATCTCATCAATGTGTACAAGTATCTGAAGGGAGGGTGTCAAGAAGATGGGGCCAGACTCTTCTCCGTGGTGCCCAGTGACAGGACAAGAGGCAACGGGCACAAGCTGAACCACAGGCAGTTCCATCTGAACATGAGGAACAACAACTTTCCTGTGAGGGTGACAGAGCCCTGGAAGAGGTTGCCCCGAGAGGTAGTGGAGTCTCCTTTGCTGGAGATACTCAAAACCCGTCTGGACGCGATCCTGGGAAATATGCTCTAGAGGACCCTGCTTGAGCAGGGAGGTTGGACTAGATGATCTCCAGAGGTCCCTTCCAACCTCAACCATTCTGTGATTCTGTGGTCATTCAGGGGGAGGGTGAATTTGAAGAAGAACTTGTCATGCTAGATTCAAGTACTGGAGAATTGTTCTGTTCTGCTCGTCACTGTTTTCCAGATAACCTGGAAAGCTGGCATTCACTCCCGTGGCATAAGGATGGATTGTCCTGGAGAACTATGTGAACTTATATTCCTCCCATTCCTCCTTCAAAATGAGGAGCCTGGATGCCTAGGATGGCTTTTCTTTTTACCCTCCACAAGGCAGGGCTGGTTTGCCCTGGACAGTCTTGTAAATTTACATTTTCCTTGTTCCTTTTTTAAAATAGTTGCTCCTCAGACTTGCTCAGGATAACCTTCCCAGGCAACCCTTGTGTCTCTTAGCCTCACTCTTTTTTTCCAGACGCATCCAAACTTGTCTCCAGATTTTCCTCTAGAAGGACTATTTTTTCAAAATCTGCATCAAATATGGCTTCTGAGACTCAGTTTCCTTTTTTTGCCTATCCATTGTGACTGAGTTTTGTGATAAAATATGCTAAAGAAGGGAGTTTGTATTCCCCTGTCCTTAGGTGGTTAGATTTCTTCCATCTCTCTAGTCTTTCCAAATTTCCAATATTTAATTAGCATCTCTCTTCCACTTTCAGTGACTGTTCCTGATTGCACTGCTTTCAAGACTGTGGTAAACATTATACATCCTCTATTCCCCAAATGAAATATTATGCAAATGATTTCTGAACAGATACTAGTCAGCCCCGGACATTATACAGATATGCCATATTAACACAACCGAAAACAAATCTGAGGCGAGGGAACGTGAACTAAATAGTCTCCCTCTTAAACACCAACATTTTTAGGGATCATGTCACGGTGGCGCATTTCTTATGCACAATTTCTTGCCGTCCGATGTCTTCACATAGGTGTGATCCCCTTCTAAAACTGGCACGTGTTCTCTTCCCTGCTTCAGGGGATATGGAGGAGTTTAGGGGATGCCAGCAGGACTAGTTTTAGTGGGATATCAGAGTCTGGAGGGTCCTAAGATCCGAAGCTGTGTTACAGCATGTGTCTCTGTTTTAAGGCAGCGACGTATATCGATAACAGGTGACACTCCACCTCCAGGTCAGACATTCTGGTGTTTCAGTTTAGTTTAGTTTTGTTTTGTTTTTTAAACTAAGAGAACTTAAAAGGCTTGTTTCAAATGGACAATTTAAGAAAAGGTTCAGAATAGGAAAGCTTGGAAACACTTCAGAGCACTATGCCATTACCCTCAGTGGGCACAGCAATGCTAATAAGCTTCCTAAAAATGCAGCTGCTGGATGCCAAAAACCTGCAATCCATGTTCTTGCAAAGAGCTTAAGTTATGGGGATTGCTGATACTTTAAGCCTACAGAACAAGCTGTACAAAGTGTTGAGGGTGCTTGACCTTCAGACAAGCCTCATACTTGAAAATGGTTCTCCTTCGCTCCCATGCTGGTACTACTGCTGGCAGATGTTGCTGTCTCACAGGAACTCAGTATAATGCTTTTTTTTTTTTTTGTAGTTTACATGATCTCCCACGAACTGCGTGCCAAAAGGAACGCAGCATTTGAACAAAGGATGACAGTTTTGAGGATCCCCAGAGGAGAGACAAATCAGGAGCCTGCTCTAAATGTGGAAAGAATAAAAAGATCTAAGTAAGGTTAAAATAACTAGGGACCTGCATATGCTAGGCAGAGACACAGCTCAACTGGCCCAGCAAACAGGAGTGGCGCAGGTCTGGCCTAGGAGTTCAACTGGAATTATGTTAGTGCCATTTCCACGGTGCAGATAGGTCCTGCAAGGCAATGAAGACAAACGTGAAACAGGCTGTGCAGCTACAGGGAAGCCATGAGTTCCTAGAGGAAAAGTGGATAAAAGGCAGAGTTTGCAAGTCTCCGCACAAAAGAGGAATGGTGTTAGCCCCATTGCTTAGAATTCTTGAAGTTAGAAGCTCTAGAGGATGGACAGATGCACCATGAAGTGAACAGGTGGGATGCATGAAGGGCAAACCTAGTACCTGCTCCCGAAGCCAGAGATGGTACAAGAGCAGCGTGAGATCCCTTGCCTCCAAGTGAAGCATCTTCCTTACGGTACAAGCAGGCTACGACGCATGTAATGCAGTTCCTACACAAGGCCAGAGCTCCTAGTGGCATGGAAACCACTTCTTCCCTCCCTCACACAGTGCTCCAGCATTCAGCTTGCTCTCGTTGGCCACGAATTTGCTGCTTTGTGCTGTTTAGGAATGACAGCAGGATTTCGATGTAGCCCTGCCAGTTTCTCGTGCTCCCATTGTTCTTTTTTCTTGTTACTGAGTTAGTGTTAAGAAGCCAGCGTGGGACACACGCAGTTAAAGCCATGTGCAAGCAAACAGTGTTTCACCGCATGGCAATGAAGCTGAGCACTGCATAGTCACACTGTAACCAGTCCATGCTTGAGCAAGCTCTGACAAGTGCAGTTCCCATGCTTTATTTTTACTTTATTACTCATGCTACTGCCTAAACTCCCGGGGTTGCTTTTTGCTAATAAGGATATTCCAAAAGCTTACTGAGCAGCTTCAAATCTTTGACTCAAAGGATACCAAGTAAGTCAAAAGTAAACATGGAAATCTATTGTGTATTTAAGTGCTTTGGTCTTGCGCAGGGCTAAGAAAAATGCACGGCTTTGATATTGTCTGGAACTTCTACTGGATTTCTGGCAGAGCTGAAAGGTGTGAAATGATCTTTTACAAAGGCATTACAGAGAATAAAAATAATAAGCAAGGTGAGGCATAGAGGGATCAACCACATATCCAGGGCACGGCCCAACCCTTACTACATGAAAATATAACCACAATTTTTTTAAAGTTGGGTTGGGTCTCAGAGCAAGAATTTAAAATCTCGGGAGGATTAAGCTATTAGCCAGCCACAAATACAGCTTGTAATTCAGCATTTCTGCAAAAGGAAATCAGATTGCCGGAGACGGACTTTTAAACATTTTCTCCAAAGCTTCCAAAGCTCCTAAGCATCGTGTGAGTCTTAAGTCCCACCTGCAGAAGTAACCAAAGCTCTTGAGAGACCAACTCACACGGAAAGTCAGCCAGCAAGACCTAATTCCCAAGCCACCAAAATCACTTTAGAGAAACATGCTGAGTGACTGCAATCCTCTCCTGCTTAGTGTCCAACTTGATACACCTCAAGGAAGATTCATTTTCAGGCACTTCAGAACGGTTCTTCCACCAAAATCAAGTTCCAATAAATGGTCTGAAGCCCAGCAGCCCACAATTGCGATGCTTAAAATGGTGAATCACTAATGCCTTATACAGATCTTACCAATAATCATACAGATCACCATTTCTTCTCTCATCTAGATTTTAGGATGAGATCCATGCAAGCTAATTCACATACCTAATTTGCAATGAAATGAACCATACAAGGTAGTTAGTCTCACCTAACTTAGATGCCATCTAAAAGGTGGCTGTCAGGTCCCAGCTCATCATCTAGACTCCCTCCATAAGAAATAAAGATAAGTGAGAGTGGTAAGCACAGTGGTAAGAAGGATGGTTCCTAATCGGGAAAGTGAGATCAAAATGGCACGGTGCCTTGCACACTTGAAAATACTCAGGGTAGCAGACCTGAGTTAAGATCAGATCTGGTAGAAAGTCACAAGTTGGTATAGCACTTTGCAAAATGGGAACCTACTGGTCCGGTGTCTGGAGATAATGATATATGAACAGTAGCAGATGTTAATGGCTTCTTAACCAAGCCCTAGTGCCTTTGGCTTGTGATATGTGTCTAAAGTCTTTTATAGGAATTTAAAAACAAAGTGGTTAAGCTGAAAAAACTAATTAATTTCTCACTAAATCTTAGAAAATGGGATGTTCCGTGCACCTTTAAAGAAAACCGCCAGAAATTACGTTGCAAGTTACACATCCTTGAATGTTACTTCAACACTAGTGAAATAGCTGGGAAAAAAATAATCAAAAAGAGCGCTGGAAAGGGAACTTCACAGGCCAGCACTGTGGCAGGGCTCACTGGATTCAGACTAGGACACATACTCATTTCGTGCCATTACGGGGAAGGACTTCTACATTTACTTGGGGGCATTAGGCAAGTGCTGAAAATTCTAGCGAAACTGCAAGGCATGAAAGCTTTCTGCCACAGACAAATTGCAGCCCATGTATGCAAAAGAGGTGCAATCAGGTATAACTCTAACGGGGGCCTATTCGTGGACATAATCGTCGTGAGTGACAACAAAAATGTTCTTGCTTGGAGAATGTTGTCTGGGCAACCAATTATGTAAAAAAGTAGTACTGAACGGGAGCTGTCTCCTGTGGAAAACGAAAAGAAATAGAACAAATATCTAAAGAAGATTTCTTTCTGAGAGAGGGGAAAAACTCCAGTCAGCACTTCAGAAATAAGTTGCTATGACCCCCTGAGCTGTAATGAGAAAATCCTGTATTCAGTAAGGTAACGAAGGGCCTGAAGGCACTTGTGTCTGCACCATCAGCATCCAGACCCTGAGTAATGAGAACTCTCAAGATATCTCTCAAAGTACTACAGTTTTTGCCACATGCTCAGAGAGCTTCCTTTCCAAAATATCAAGTTTTCTTATGTAAATAGCTACACTGGGAGGCCATATGAGATCACTCTGTGCCAAAGCAGAGTCGCACTCCTTCATTTTCATCAGTGGTTCAGTAAACATAATCTTCACTTCTATACATCTTGCAGACTTATTTTGGTCAGTGGCCATTTAAGAACCAAATAAAACACGTTAATTGAGGACAGAAGAGCTAATGACAGTAAAAATTATGAAAATTGCTGGCTAAGCTCAGCTCCTGCTAGGGCTTTCGAAGATTCCAGTCTCGTCTGATTACACAAGAATATATTCAGGCTATATAGAGTGCAGCCTAACTCATATTTCTTAAAATAATAGGCTATGATGGCTTCACAATGGGAAACCAAAGAAATCTATGCCTTTCTCTAAGGCTATCAGGAGAAAGTGTGTCTGCGTAGCATGAAGATAATGCACTGAAAAAGGTATTCCTGGGATGAATCTGGATCTCTGTGTCATAACTGCGTCATCTGTTCATGTTCTTATACCCTCGTAACAACAGAGGCATGAAAACATGGGCGACTTGGCAGCTGCAAAGCAAAAAGAGCTGTGCCCACGGTCATTAAATTGCCCACACGCGTTTCTTTAACAAGTTTTCTCCATCCTTGCCATCAGCTTTTCCACAATTAATCCGAGAATATCGGACCAAGGGGAGGGAGAAGGAAAGGAAATGAAGATGGAGATAATACACATATGCTGTCAGCGTAACTTTCTGCAGAAAGTCTCGTCTCAAGTGGCACCCTAGGTAAGGCATGAGCTGTGTCCTCTCTCCGACCGCTAGAAAACCCTGGCTCCTTCCTCGCAGCAAGATCTGAGACAAAGGTATCCCTACAGCAGCCGTCGTTTCAGTTGCATGGATTTAATGGCAGATACCCCAGCAATTAATTTTACTCTCTAACCTGGCTATCTAGGTATCTGAACAGGCACAGACTTGCTGGCTGTCTCATGAAATACGAAGTGAGCCTTTTAAATAGTGTTTGCTCCAACAGGTCTTGTAAACATCTTCCATATACTTCTTGCATTCAGTTGCTTTACTTTTTTTAAGAAGGATGCTGGCAAATGCTATGCAAATCAGCATCCTTGCACAATCACTTCTGAGACAGGCGAAATATCAGGCAATATATGGCAGGAAGCAATCTACTACTGGCATGGAGGACTTGGGGATCTAAAGAGTCTTTATACATTTATATTCAAAAAGTCAGTAACTTAATGTCGTTGTAACAGAGGATTGCTGGAGAATGAACGTAGCTCTTTCATTTTACTGTCTTCTGTCAGGGGAATCTTGCAAATACTCTTCTTTATGATAAAACTAATATCCCACATTAGGTAAAACGTCTTGGTTTTATAGGTACTTGCAGAATAGAGGCATTTGCATATTCTTCCCAAGCTTCTAATTTAACCGCGGGCACAGTCTTTGAGAAAACTCATTTGGCAAAGGAATAAAATCATCAAACCTAATCCCACAATCCCTGAGCTGGCAAAGTTCCAGTGAAAGGCAGGAATTGCAGGATTGGGACCTAAAGGAGAACAGCACACAAGACAACGTTGTAAACTTCTCAGACCTTTAGTTCTAACTAACTTGTGTAAAATCTTACGTGTGCTATGTAGAGATACCAGAAAACAACTATCATTCCCTTTAGTGCCTTCATTTTCACTATGCTTTTATACTGCAGTGGGGAACAGCAGCTGGCTAGCGTAACCAAAGCGCCTACCAACGTATCCAGGAGTCCCACAGGCTGTGGACATGACGTCTCCTTTACCCTCCATCTTTGACAATCCAAAATCACTGATCATGATTTTTGATTCCTCATCCTGGCTGTAGTAAAGCAGGTTCTCAGGCTAGAAGGAAGAAAAAGCATAATGGGTTTTGAGCACGTAAATCCAGTAACATTTGCTGGCTGATGCTTTGCATTTAATATACTCCCCTAACGAAGGCTTATCTCTTATTCCTGAGGAGTGTCCAACATATCATCACTTCATAGCGATAAAATAGAAAGATTCACTAGAAGGCAGGGGAATATGGCAAATCGAGGTAGTGTACACAAAACTTTTTATAAAGCTGCATTTGGGGTTAAGCAGTGGTTAAAAGAAAAAGAAAAAGAGAACCAGTAGGTGTTAGAGAATTTTTATATCTTCTCCATTGGAAATAAATATTATGAAAGAGGAAATGCCTTGAAAGTCAACAGAGTTACAGCAAGAATGTTTTAGCTAGTGCTGATTAGGAAAAAATGTTGCAGTACTGACAACAGTGACTTGTTTATGCTGAGCAAAAACACGAGTCACTCCACAAAACCCTGTGAATTTACACTGATGTCAGTCCAGTTTGAGAGCCCAATCAACCTCCAGATACCAATCTGCTACATTATTTGCTAATCCTCAATATATATGTTTCAAATGTGCTACTGCCATACAGTAAATCTCTTGCTAGATGCTGCGAGAGCACACTTCCTAATGCTGCTCCCTTGCTTAACATCCTAGCTCTTGAAAGCTTCAACATCTCCTGCCCCGGGAGCCCCACAGAAAGAGGGGGAGCTTGTACCACAGTACGACCCAGACCTTGGGCTCTTCACGTTTAAAAGTGATGGATAACCAATGTTTCAGCATAATGCTGGAAGAGGCTTTTTGCCCAGAAGCTGGTAGAAATGTCTATGCGAATCCAACGCAGTTTCTCTACCAATCTATTATGTGTTCCAGCCATGAGTTTCCAGGAAACGATACGAGACAGCTGGGTCTTTGCAACATCATTAAATTCCTTGGGTCAAATCCAGGCTTGGATTTTGAAGGAGGAACAATCCTACTGCAGTCATGGGTACTGGCTAAAACCAGAGCTGGCACCTTCCATTGTACCACAGTTGAGGACACTGGACTCATTTTTAGGTTTCCTTCAGCTATTTATGCATTTTTCCACCAGGTATTTCCACCCTGCTCATGGCCAGCCCGAGACCTAAGGGGAGCAAAACACAGCCATTGCCAATGGGTGGGCTGGGGCCTGGATTTTGGTGCTTGCAGAGGCCGGGGGTTTTAGTGGGGGAGGCAACACGTTGGAGAGGCACATTTTACGTGCGAGCTCTGAGGTCCCAAGGCCACCACTTGTAATGCACCACAGAGGCCCTCATGACAACCTTCTTCGCTGGGGTGAAGAAGCAACAAGGGAGTGAGCTCCTCTCCACGCTACTGGGAGGTTCCCTTTCCACCTGGAGTTGTAGCTAAAATACTTTATAGAGTTGTACCTTACTTAGGTGCCTTCTCATGACACCTCCTGAGTCCGGTGCTTTAACTGGTCTTTATAGTGCTGACACTGTTTCAGGCACCACATGAACCAGTTTTATGCCACTGACTCCCTTTGGTGGAGTTGCTCCTGATTTTCACTCATGTATATCAGACCACATATACATTATGCCTCCTGATTTACAACTAGGTCCTACATCTCACTTGATTGCTTCATGCCAATTTTCGCCCCGAATGATGCCATCCCGTTTCACACCCTCCCATTATGCCCTGGTTAAGATCATTCTTAGCTCTGCCTACTAGCACTACTTTGGATTAATTACAACAGAAATGAACTTCCACTAACACTCCAACTAAATTTCCCACCCCTTCCCACACTCCTTACTGGGTCTTCCAAGCTCATGCCATCCCCTGAGCCTTGCACGGCAGATTTCTCTCTTCTCTGCCTCCCTGCTGTCTACAACTGATTGAAATTTCACCAGTTTCAGAACGCTGGCAGCATTTCAAGATTACAGCGCTAAAGAGAAACGCCTCGCGCTGCACTACCTCTGGTATTGATCCACTTTAGTAGAGTCAGTATTAAGGGAAAGACAAGTTTTCCTAATGATTTCTACTGACTCATCTCAGGTCGCCCATTTACTCATGTTCAGTCATGCCAAGAAACTCAAGTGTAAACTAGACTGCAATAAGAACAATGCCATGTTTTATCAAGTGATCTGGTTAATGCAAAAGCATTAACAAGATGGCTCTGTATCAAGCAGAGCTGCTGAAGCCACTCAGTAATTTTGTAAATACTGGACTTCACTGGACTTTATCTGCTGCTGTCTGTCACTGTCTTCTGCGGTGTTACTCAGATTAGAGCTCTGGAGTAGGGACCTGCTTTTCCTAACCACAGCAAGTATTAATGTGGTGTCTGAAGAATACATAATTATAACCATTAATTGTTATAGATATTTCAAAGGTTGTATTCTTATAGATTGGATTCATTTTGGGGAGTCACAGTTCAAATCTTGCTCTTACCTTGATGTTTTGAGATCATAAAAGAGCTTTATCATATCCCTATTTTTGCCATCGTGGTATGTTTGTGCTAACAGAAACCCACAGCAGGAGAGTCTCAAATTCCATATTTTACGAGTCATTTTAACAGCAGATATCATACTGACACACACTTTCAGACAAAAAGACAGAGAAGAAGAGCTAGTCTGTCCTCCAGATCGCTGGTGGAGAAGGGGGCTTGTTTGACCTAAATTAAGCATGTCCTTAAATAAACTCTTAAAGTATTTGGCAGATTAATCCACTTCCCAAGCACCAGATTTCAGATTTTATTGTGGGAAATTTTTAATAAGATTAAACACTTTTAAAATAAGAGCTACAGCATTCCTTTAAATCATAAACATAGTTCAGATAACGTAGTGCCTGAACTAACAGGGCTCGGAGCGCCTTCTTAAATCTACTTTAGCGGAAAAGAAGTCTAAATTTATTTCCTACAAATTGAATATGGGAGAAAGCTGGTCAAGTTAAAATACTAGACAGCTCCTTCCATATGGAAATGGTATGGAATTCTAAGAAATAAGACAATGTTTTAATATAAGGCAGAATAAGAGCGTTAAAGGAATGGGAAATGCAGGTTGCATGGGAAGATTACAGGAGATAGAAGACTAATCAGTGTCTCCTTACAAAAAAACCCATGATTTGAGAGTTTTAGAGCTAAACTTTGAAATGCTGAGAGGAAAAACCAATCTACAGACATCAGCGTATCTTGCCCTTTAGAGGATTCAAAGCTTTGCCCTAAAAATGTGCCTAACCCATATTTTTTTGGATTTTGTACACTTTTTTTGTATTTCTGCTTTCTACTAGTCTACTCAGGCTTCTTTCCTAGCAAAGATCACCCAATTGCAGCTACTGGTAGAGGGGTCCAGGACTGAGGCAAGTTGCTTACAGCAGTCAGGAAAAGGGAAAAAGGGCACAATCCCATGGGAACCATCCCCCTACAGCAAAACAATTCATATTTGGACTCTTTAAAAAACAGCAGAAGGAAATGACTGTACTGGGGCTTTAGCGAAACGAAGCTGTGTCTGCCTGCCACAAAGCGTCGCGAATGGGCACTGCTCCATCTTTAAAAATTGTAGAGCTGATGGTTACACTTGCAAGGGGCTCTGTTTTGGCTCACATTTTGGAACAACCCTGCTGTTTATTGCTTTACTCCAACAAGGATTTTTTATCAGCACTAATTTTGGAGGAGATAAAAAGAAAATAAATAATATCTCTCATCACTCCAATTTTTCATCGATGTTAAGACAAAACAGTGAGGTCGCATTCCAGTCACCACAACCATTGCTAAAAGAATTTGCCAAAAAATGCAAACATGCAGTTTAATACTAGACTGTATTAAAAATTCAAATAATTACAAATGCATTTTATACAAAGTTACATTTAATAAGTAAAAAAGAAAATTTATTTGTGGCTGGTGACTCTGACAATAAATTGTTACTTGAGGACAATTCAAGGCAACTCTTGTTTGGAGCATCCCCCCAGATCGAAAGCAGAAGTGTCACTTTATCCACCGAATTCTCAGTTTCTATCACTAACTTTTGGTAGGATTAATGAGTTCAGGAACTGAACTTGCACTTTTCTTCTGACATTTTTACTTTTTTCTAATGCTTTCTGCTAATTTATTATTTAAGATACCTAAAGATGGGGAGGTCTAGCTGTGTACATTATGAAATCCAGGCCCGTCTGCTTATCTTAATGACAGTTTAAGATACAAGGAGGAAACAATGCGGGAATAATGCTTTGGGGTTTTTTTTCCCAGAAAAACTGGGAACTGTTATCTAAAAATCACAGTGGCACACAACATCCCTTAAAAGAATCCTTGCTGTAGAAAGTGTCTCCAAAAACACTGGTCCAAATGGCAAAATAGGAAATGATTCAACTTTCCCACATAATTTATTATGATTAAGTAATTATTTTTAAGTAAAAGTAAACATAGCACTGCAAATCTGTAAGACACTTTACAGCAATAAACACATATCCCAGTTGAGAAAAGTTGCTTGTCTTAATGTAATGTTTCATGTCTTAACGTAGGACCTTTTTCCTTGCATCATACTTGCAAAATTTCCCCTTGACTGTAACAGCATTGCTTGCAAAAGTCCTCAGTAAAATAAATTACGAAGGAAGGTGCCTTCAAAACATCCTTCTTGTGATAACTCCTTGCTGAAACAGCTAGTCCTAAGGAAGGCTGGACTTACAGGAGTGAGACTCCCGTAAGTAGGCACTCACACCACACGGAAAAGCAAGTGAAGCAGTGGTTGTACCTTGAGATCCCTGTGCACAATGCCCATCCTGTGCAGGTAGTACACAGCGTCCAGGACCTGGCGTATCAGAGTGCTCGCGTCCTTCTCAGTGTAGAACCCCTTCTCAACTATGCGGTCAAAAAGCTCTCCCCCGGACACCCTGGAAAACACGACGGGATACAGAAGTGTAAAAATTTGCTTTATAACTCTCTGCAGGATGGCTACAGACATTTACTAGTCCCACGCAGTCCAAGCACACATCCACCGAGAGCTCCAGGGGCTCTCCAGCTGCCTCAACAGGCATTCGGACTTGGGTTTTCTCATAGTCACAGGGCTGGTCAGAATTGGGTGGGGGAGAAAGGCTGCATCTACCTCAGAGACCAGAACAGTAGCAAGAACGGAAGTAAAGAAGTAAGAAAACAAAACCAGACATGTTCATGCTGTAATGGGGAAAAAAAAAATCTATCCCATATCAGACAGTGGTCAAAGACTCACTAGAAACAGCAGAAATCAGAGCTCTCTACACCAGTAGGAGCCAGGGGGAGCCAATACTGCTTTCAGTGCTCTCCAGCCCTACCTACTTGTACAAGCAAATTAGGTCTGTCATTGCCCACTGGTGGCTGGCCCACTGGGATTTACAAGGTCTCCTGCAACTGTCAGCACCTTGCAGTTTGGTTTTGCTCAGCTGACCAAGGCTTGGGTTTTGTCCTGAAGGAATGGTCCCCTTCCCCTTTCCCTATCTGTGAGTGAAATGCAGACAGTAATTGCTGCTAGTATCTACAGAGCATCAGTTCTTTGAAGGACTTGGCATCTCATGTTGGGAAGGGAAGTTTTAAAGATGCCCGGGGGTCTCCCACTTTACCCAGGCATATACGTTCATTTGCTAACAGCCACAAACTCTTTTGTCATATGAGTCTTACTTGAGCATGGGCTCTGACTGGCGCTGAGAGAAGACAGTTATTAATGAGGGAGCACAGATTATGAGCTCAGTTAATCACTAGATGACACAGATGGGGAAAGGATTCCACAACTCATAGAGGAAAATAAAACTTGACATCCCATTTGATGTCTGCTATATTATGCTTTTCCTCTGCCCTGCTAGAAGTAACATGTTCTGAACCCAATCTTAAATAAAGAATGGACACATTAAAAATCCCTAGAGGGCTATCTGGGAAAATAAAAGAGGAAAGAAATTTCTGAGTAACTGAAATAATAAAACTGTCAGCAAAAAAACTGCCCTACTAGGGTAAGATTTCCATTTTAACAAGCAAAATCTATTAAAAAATACAATAAATGCGATATGTTTTTTCAGCAAGTTCCACCACTTAGCATATCATAAATAGCAGAGTAAAACCTTCTTTAAAAACAAACCTAATAAAAGTAAAATAATAAATGATTACAGTCATTAAATACGTATGCACTTGGAGCTTGCCATTATATGAACACTAAGTAATTCAGCTGCAGTCACTGCAAGCAATAATCGGCTTGAATAATGCCATGAAGTCACTTCCTAGAAAAGTTTGGAGCCTGCATGGAAGAGAAGGCTGCCACTAAAAATTAACACATTCAACTTAGAAACTGCAAAGAAATCTGGGAAGAAAAAGACTAAACTGCATAATGCACCCATTAACTGCTAGGCAAACAAACTGAATGGTCTGCTAAAATACTGGCGATAAACTGAAAATATGCAGTAAAGGTGAAGTTCACCCAGGGCCCAATCCAAACGTCACAGTAGTTGAATGTAAAACATACCACTGTTTCCAGTGGGACCTCATTAAACCTTCTGTGAGGTTCAGTTGGGTGACCCAAGCTTACTTCAGCTCTGAGCAAAGCTCAAGACCCCTGGCCGTAACCAGGGGCCCCCGGCTCGACGCCCGCTGCTGGCAGCACCCAGCCAGACTCGCCCATGTAGTTGAGCCGGTGGGCTGAGGGAAAGTTCCTCGCGCCCCAGCAAAGCAGAGAGCCTGGGACTCTGCTCTAACAGGAAGAAGCCAGGCATCATCATACTGAAACCTGCTCTAAGATGATACTTGTAAAGCTGTGCAGAAAACCTAGACACATAGACATATATTATTTTGCATTATATATACACGGCGACAGTGCAGACAGGGCAGGGAAGGACAACAGTAAGTGTTGCTGCAATTCCCTCTTACACCCACGCTCGCTAAAACATCCAGCGCTGCTCCATGGGCCTCACCACAGAAGAGCAGAGAATCTGTCTTGCCGCTTGCAGAAGGTAGATACAGTTATATTGAATCTGGCTCGTATTAGCTCACTGCCTTTTCCTATTTCCCCTGCGGCCCTTTTGTTTCCCGTGGATTGATTGCACTGAAAATTGAGCCCACGCAATAATTAGCATGACTGAGTACAGCACATTTCCCCATGAAATCTTGGTGCGTGCTGTTCTGCAATTTCACATAGTTCCTCTGGTTATATTCAAGAGACGCTTTAGTAGATACTGATTTACATCATACACATTCCTATACAAGGACTCTCTCCTTCCACATTCCCAGAGAGTGTACCTCCATACACATTTTTTCATTACAATGACAAACTCTCCTTCCCTCCCAACTCCCTCCCTTTCCCCCTACACCTCAGTCCTTAATCACAAGCTTTTCCTAGCCAAATCTATTTCTGTGGATCTACCCTACCCAGGCTCAATCTGTTTACAATTTTCTTTCAGCATATGTAATATATTTTCAACCTTTTGCATGATGCATTGCAAACCAGCTGCTTAATCCGTGGACTCAGGAGGAGCGGCCACCAGCTTGCAGCCGCTTGCTGATTCAGAGTGCCAGAGATGCAAAGAGTTGAGGGACCTAATTTACTGTGTACATTATTATGTATATGTTATGGTACATGGGATTTACATTAAATGTTTGCACTAGCTCACCTAGAAGGTCCCACTTCTGCAGGTAAGTTTCACAGCTGGGGTTCAGCTCCCGAGAATGTTCTGCAACATGGCATCTGAGTGTTGTCTACTTTAGTAGTGATCTGAGCCAGGACAGTAGCGCAGAGTAGCTTGTGTCCACCTGGCTCTTCCCTTCCAAAATAATCGACTCAACCATACCATCATTAAGAATGCTCTCCCAGTACAGTGCGCAAGGACCGTGCTGGCTCGCATGGGGCAGCGCCATACCACGGGCAAGCTACCACCACACACAGCTGTGGGAGAGTATTTGAGCTCTTGATTCACGGCAGAGATGTTGCCTGTTTGTCTACAGCTGGTCTCGACTGGGGCACGGTAGCCAGAAGAGTCAGCTCAGCGCACGGGGAGGGAGGAAGGTGAGCGCTGCAACTCAGGGAACTCCCTTTTTCACTTAAAAGGAAACACAAATCCCAGTCGGGCTGATTGAGGTGGAGCCATTACAGGACGGTTACAGCCTCTTTGCAGTCCGTAGACAGGCTCTATTCAAGGGTTAGTGTCAGGGCTTGTCACTACAGGATTTCTAAATTCTTGTAATTCCTAATTGACAGATGTAAGCTAGGGACAGATGAGGCGATATTTCAGCTTGAGTATTAGACCTTCACTTTAGGTTAACTATCAAGTTCACTAGGAAAAATCCAAACTGACCAACAAAAAGAAAAACAACTCCTGTTAGAGGTAAGGAAAAATGAAGTGGAATGAGTTTTTTTCTCAAGCAGTACATTCCTTCCCTTTCTCTCTCTTGTTGGTACCATCTGAGTATACAGATAAATCCTCTCATTCGTTCCCCCATTCATCCCCCATTGCTATTAAGGGTAGGAACCTTTCCATATGGAGCAAAAAAGAGCTTTTTTTAGGGGTTTGAAAAATAACATGCTTTGACATACTATTTTGGACTTCTTTGCCTTTTCCAACATGTTGATTTATCCCTCTCTGTCTCTTTTGGAATGCAGGCCAGGACTGCTCTGGATTCTTTACCACTTAACGGTTTAATTGCTTTTTATCAAAAGTCTTGCTGATGAACTCATCAGTGGTGGATTTATGCAGAACTATTCAGTTTGCGAGCAGTCCCCTGCACAACCATAGGGAACTGCCCACGCTGAGAAGTTCGCCTGATGCTTGACTGCAGTTTCAAGCCATGACCCAACAGAGGGACAAGTCATCAAAGCTCCCTCAGGCTATGTTGAAAGAAGCTGTGCAGAAAGGTGGAGATGTCCCCAGGCTCTTGTCAGCAGGTTGCAGATAAGGGATGCCTAATGGAAAGTGGGCTAATTTCAGAAATCTGGGGCAGGTGGGATTCCAGGTCAATATGGAAAATAGGTAGAATATGAGTTTTACTCAACAGCTGTGAGCAGCTTACTGATTAGAAGTGAAATATTTGCAGTTTCCTCCCACGTCCCATTGCCGTGGGCCTTTTAGAAGGCTTTTAGCTCTGCCAATGACAAGAGCAACGCAGGCATTAGCTATTTGCAGTCAGAGTCCACTATGATTTCAGAGGCTGGTCAAGTAAACGAGCTGTGGAAACACCCTTCCTACTGGTAGCCAAGCCTCTGCCAATGGTTTGCTGACACACTTGTGGTGTGTAGAGATGCACATGGTTTTCAACTAGCATCAAGGCGGAAGCTCTAGAGCAGAGACTGTTGTCCAGCTGGGAGCAACGTTATGATGAATACAGCGGCCCAACCTTGCTGGAAGCAATGAGGTGATGTTACCCAAGAGGAACCCAAAACCCAGGATAAGGGCAGCCCTAGTAAACTAACTAAACAAACAGCACAAGGATGGAGGTTCCCCCAGTGCTGAAGGAGCTCGGCTAATGGAGCCACCCCTAAAAGATGTGCCCTTTCTCTACGTTCCTTTTCATTATAATGTGAAACACTGGACCTTGTAAGTTGATGAGAAGCAAACACACTAATTTCAATGGTCGCAGGGTCAAGTCCACGTATCTTAACTAGGACAAACTGACCTACTGAAAGGGTCTGATAAATCAGCCAAAGCACGTACCACAGCCCCTGGGGCACGAAGCTGGAAGTGTGAGGTGAGATAAGAATGACTGAAGGGACTGTTCTGGGGAAGTTCAGGCTTTGGATAGTCGTTTTCTCTAATGAAGGAATTCTTATTAATACAAATATTTCCATTTTTAAAATTTATTTTGTTTTTAATGGAGGGGGCTTCTGTTTGGCTTTAAACTTCCTCTGCATTGTGAAAGCGCATGGGAACTAGAAAATGAACCTGAC